CATAGGTATTGCATACAGACGACATACATCATCCCTGAACCTAAAACAAGCCTCAGTATTGCAGGATCATACACTAGTTTAGTTACATAAGGAAATGCTGTTAACACTTGCTTTTATTGTATTCATCAATTTCACTAGTCTGCATACAGGTAGGACAAGCATGTAGCAGCCAACCAAATCATATGGTGCTTCATTAAGATCGCAAAGCGAGCTATAAGACGTAAGTAGCATTTTAGCCCGACCCCTCTCTTGTTTAGTGCATTTTGGAGATTGTTCGTTAATGATGATTTCTGGCTCTGACCCTGCCCATCACATGACGGATAAAGGCTTAGTACTGATATATCAGGATCTCAGGAAAATTCGCCGAAGTCTTCCTCTAACGATCCTATAGTCACAAGTTTAAGGAATTCCTTTTTCGATGTCTGGTAAGGCCAATTTAATAATTCCTTCCACTTGCCTTTTCAAACGAAATTCTAGCATTTATATTACTTGCCTTTGCTAAGTATAAGGCCGAATCCATTTAATATGATACAAAAGAGTAATTAAACTCTCGCTCTTGCCATTAAACCTTTATAGTGAGTTTATTGCGAACATCAGATCTTTTCTATTTAAGCATTTTTGTTTGTCTTTCATCTCCAATTAATAAGCTAAAGGAGTTATATTATTGCGTTTATCCTTAGTAAGTCTATCGTGTAGGGGCTTATCATTGTACACCTCAGCTTATACTTAATTACTGTTAAATACAATAACACCTTGAAACAACTGTTATATTTTTGATTTGTAAGTAGGCTTTCCTATATAAATATTATAATGTTTGACTCGAATGCTGGAATGGGTCTTCAGATACAAATCCTTTGAATAAATTTAATCATTTCGTAATCTTTCCTTTGCTCTGTTGGCTAAGTTAATTAAAAATATTGTGGGCCTAAGTCAAGCTGACTTGGGCACTCTAGTATAATAATCGTATCCAGTCATATTTGGTAATATGGCTTAAGAGAAAATGGGTTTCGATGAATTTCCTGAGATAACATTGTTAGGGGGACTTTCAGTTCGTATGAAAGTGCATTAAGAATAGATTCGTTGGTCGATCTTACCATACAAGGATGGATGAATCTCGTTGTACTGCAACCGTTTTGCTTTTATACGATGTTCACCTCGACGCAGTCCACGAGATTTCCTT